TTTCATTCAACTTTTTTTATTTTATTTAAAAAAAAAAAAAGCCACGTTTATTTTACCGTTTTTTTATTAAACATTATTAATTTAATAAAAATTAACTTATTAATAAAAATTTTAATAATTTTTTAACAATGTTACCAACATAAACTAGCAAAAAAAAAAAAAACAAAAAAAATATTTGAATAAACGGAAACGGTTATTATAAAATAATTATCGAGCATGAAAAATAAAAAAAAATTTTTTTTTTTAATTTTGTTTTTATTTATTAATAAATTAATTTCTTTCTAGAATTTTCTAACAATAATAATAATATTAACATATATGGAAACGTTTTATTTTTATTTTTTTTTCTCCAGCGAGTGACTTATTAATGTTAGAAAAAAATAATAATAATTAATCGTTATTAAAAATTTTATTTGATTTCGATTTATTTAAAAAAATTTTTCATTTTTGCATGAAATAAATAATAATAATAATATTAATAATAATAATAATAATAATAATAATAATAATAATAATAATAATAATAATAATAATTGCCACACCCTGTAATAAAATTGTTTTTACCCGTTTTTTATAAAAAAAAAAAAAAAGGATTTGTAAAATTTCCGTTAACGCGCCATAATGATGAATTCGATTCGAAAAGGAAAATTTTTTTTTTTTTTTGCTTTTTTCATTTTATTTTATTTTATTTATTATAATAAAGAAAAAAAGAAAAGCCGGGGAAAGAAGAAAAAAAGAATTTTCTTTTTTTTTTTTTTTTTAATAAAACAAGAAGAATATTTAGAGTGTGTAGAGAGAAAGTATTGACGAAATATAAAAAGCATGCGTCATGGCCTCATCTTAAAATAGGAGACGTGTATATATATATATAAATATATGTATGTATTTTTCTCTTTCTTTCTTTCGGTTAAACTTTTTCTTTTTCAATATATTTTTTATCTTTTTAATGGGTTCCTCAACAATTTTTTTAAATTTCTTTTTGATTCGAAAATGGAGAGGGGATAGAAAGGGGAGAGGGGAAAAGGGAGAGAGAGAGAGGAGAACTTACCCCGTAAGCAAGAATTCCATTGCTTTTAACATATACGTACACACACACACACACACCAACTTCGACTCCATTTTTTTTTTTTTAAGGGATGAAATCTCATTTTTTTTTTTTTTTTTTACATAAAATTTAACTTTTCCTTTTTTCTTTTTATTTCCTTTTTCTTATTCCTTTTTCTTTCCTTTGTTCGG